CAGAGTTCTTACATAGCAGGGTAAAGTGGTGAAGGCAGTTTCTGGGAAGATCAGAGAGGCAGACATGATAGGGCAGTCATCCAGGGAGTGGTGACAGAGGTCTGAAATGGAGTGGTGGCAGCCGAAATAGCATGGAGTGGATAAACCCCAGAAGAGTCATGGAGTTCATCATTGGAGAGCGAGATACAGGGAGCACTGAGGCTACTACCCTCCCTGAACGTAATTTGATCTGTCCTTGCCTAACATTACTACAAATCATTAGTTAGAGGAGCAGTTTTCACTCTATGATATTAAACTGTTGACTGTAAGAATTTGAATGTATCTTGACTGTGGGATATAAACTAAAATTAAAATTATTACTACATGCTTTCTTCTCTTTTGTCTCTCATGCTTTAAAAATGAAGTACACAGTGCAAGAAAAAACAATGTAATTCTTAGAGGAACTCAGTGTCAAACCTGCCCAGTAAATTATTAAGTAATAAAGTTGACTTCTGTAAGCCACTAGGAAACTTAGTTCTTCAAACAGGTTCCTGAGTAGTAGTCAAGACATCATAGAGGACTAGGGATTGTGAATGTCAGTTTCCTCATTTATCGGGTTAGGAAACTAAGAGTCATGAAGTTTCTGTTGCACTTTAATTAAGGGAATCTTTTGAAATGATGCATGTATGAGAAATGAATTATTTTTATAATACCCAAAAAGAGAGAGTACAAAGGAAGAGGCTGAAGAGGTAGCCTTCAAGCAAATATTTATGTGTTTAAAAACTTACCTAGTTTTCATAGTACTACACTACAATGTTTGTGAATAGTTATCACATTCAATACTTGGAAAATAATAGTGAAGTCCACTGGACCTTAAGCTTTCTGTATTTTATATTTTGTGAATGAAATTGCTTTCATTTTCCGAAAAGGGTAGTATATTTTGAAGCACAGATAAATGTTTGGAAAAAGGATGCATAGCCTTTTAACACTTCAAACACCTGTTGCTTTCAAACATGTCAGTAAGTAATTTCTGAAGGGTTACTACATCACAGAACCTCAGAAGTGCTTCAGGTTTCAGTTAAAGCAGCTTTCTTTCACCATATGGTTTACAGAAAGTGGATTAGCATACTTGAGAAATTAGAATCACAGTGCTGAAAAGGATTTAAGTAAATGTTGGGGCTTTATTTAAGTGTAAAATAATACACCAGCAGAGAGAAGCTTTAGTTAATGGTAAACATGGGCATATGCTTACTGTTGTGTTGGATGAAGTCTGTGTTTCGTGTTATCAAAACTAAAAAGCTAATCTTTTTTTCCTGCCTTATTACACACTCACTTTAATTTATTGCTCAATAAATATTAATTGGGGCCTAACATTTTAACTATCAAGCAAAACACATAAAATGATTTTAATGGTGTGAGAATTGAAAACACAGGAGTTAGATTGCACGTATTCAATGCTACTTTACTATTATTTTCTCGGATTACTGGGCCAATTTGGCTTCTTTTGCTTCTTTGACTGCCGCATTACATTTTGCCTTGAAGCCATCCATTTTGCAGATATTGAATTTCTTTTGAGTGCTATTTTTATACAATAAGCATCACTACACCTCTGGATCTTGATAGCATTACTGCAGGAGGAGAAAGCAGCTTTGTGTTAGTAATTACCTAACATTGTCAGAAGCTGACTGCAGGCCTCTTTCTAGTGATAACAGAATAACCGCATAATGTAGCTTTATAGCACATGATTAATAGAAAATAATTACACGTCCTACAAAGGGATGCAATATTTCTTATAAATTGACTAGAATGGTTTCCTGTAGATTAAAGGACTCTTCATTATTTTATCAGTTCTCCTGAAGTACAGTCACTTGCCTATGTTAGCGTTTCAGTTGATGTTAAGAGCTGAATAGGGTGAAGGATACCAGATGGCAGATCTTCTTGTACCTAAGATTTTGGGGGCAGTAAAGATGACATGATGCTTCCTAACCTGTCAGAGATTTAGATGGCAGCCTGGTATGGTTCGTCTCTTTATTTTTTTGATTATTAATAAGATAAGGCTTGAGAGATTCATTCATTCAATTATTTACTCATTCATTCATTCATTCTGATCCACTTGTGACTTTATAGAACAATACATGTTGTCTGTAAGAAAAATTGTGCCGATCATATTATTTTCTACTGTATGTAATCTGTCATTCATAATCACATTTGTTTGGGACAGCAAAGAGGAAAGGCAGATACAGGCTGATTTTCTTCGTCAGAAGGAAACCTTATGTTATGTTGAATCTTCAGACTGAAGTTTAGAATACCATACTCCAAGAAGCGTTTTCATTCCAATTTATAGGCTGCAAATGGTTTAATTGGGATTCATGTTGCTCAGGAGGCTCATCCGAAGGATGGTAATGATAAAAGGAAAGCTCCTGTGTTTGCAGTCTTGTCGACATACTCTAATGGCTGCAGAGTAAATCTATAAATTTGCCTCCTAGATTTTTACCTCCCCATATTTTATCTTATCTCTTAATTCCACACAGGAGTATTATATGGAATTCTTTACAAATGTAAAGTAATAAATATTCTGATTTTTATTTTTATCTTCTCTGATTTAAATCTGATACTTCAGAATACTTTCCTGAGGTGTGTATTTCATACAGTTTCAACTGTTTTAAATTAAATTAAGCATTTAAGATACTAATGTAATATTTTTTCTCCTCGAACATTACTTTTAAGGGATTTGTGTACAGCTGAATAAGCTCCTCTGTGTGGTTTCCTCCTGTACTTTCTACTTAGTGAACCTTACTGATCTACCATAGTCCAGAATTTCCTCAAGTGTGGATTTTCTCAATTCTCTCTGTCATTTGTGCTTTGTCAGTGTGATTTGTTGGCAATCAGTTCTTAAATTTGGATAAGTGAAGTTTTGAGAGTATTGTACCCTTAGTTGACAGTACAGGTTATTAACTAAAGTAGAACATTATAAAGACATACGAATTTTCTGACTTATGGTTTGAATATAAATATTATCACCCAGATTGAGGGCCATTCTCTGTGGAAGCAGGTTTGGGTCAATGTCTTTTCACTATTTTCTGTATCCACTGTTGGAAGGCTTGTTCCTGTACTCTTCAAATAATTTGAAAATTCTAAGATTGGCATTGGGTAAGAGCTTTCACATTCACACTTTCCTGTTCATTATCCATTTTTACAATTTACAATATGGAGGTTTGGTCTATGGAAGGTTAAGTACCTTTGTTTTGCTAAGTGTGGGGCTCTGATTATATTCATTGCCTTAAAAATGGAAAAGAGCAGTTTTATTAAGTACCTATTAGTATATAATGGTTGCTAATCATAGCTTTCAGTAAGTTGGTATTTTCTTCTGATAAATGTATCCTACATAGATTACATTCATCATCATTGAGTTCTGGACTCAACAGTATTCTTGTTGCTTAGACAATTTTGTCCACTAAGTTCACATTATCAGTGAACTTTTCAACCTAATAGCTTGATTCTGCTGCCTCACAAACCAGAGCTATGCCTACATTAGAATAAGAAGTACAGAGTTAGTCTTTTCTCCCTCATTTCCCTCCACTTTGTTCATCTAATAAACCTAATTCTGACATTGCCCAAAGTTCTGACATTTTCTCATATAATTCCTCTATCGGTAGACTATCAATACATGCATGCTATTGTTTCCAAACTATATTGAAGAGTTGCATAATTTTCCTTTCTGGTGGTCAGTAGTATGCTAATCAATACAAATGTTCAGTCTGTACTCGTATTAACCTTCCCTCCCCACATGTAACTCAATATGCATATGCACATTTATCTATGACTTAGATGTTGGAAAATCATAACCTATTGAATTACTTTTGGGATTGATTTTAAAAATTTATCTTCTATGAAAAATTAATTTTTGGCCTTACAGTGCTTGTGCAGAGTATTGCTTTTGGAAGATATTATTCTTGAAACTCGTGATTCATTTTACTTTGTTTGTATCTCACTAAACATAAATAAATTTGAGATAAAAATACATTAGTCAATCTGGCAGACATATGAGGCTGGTTATAAAGTGTCTGTGATGCCTAAAGCATTGGTATGTCTGTCAATGGGGGATAAAAGGAAAGAAGAGGCACGGGTTTGTTTATCTCGTGTTGCAAAGTAAATGTAGAAGTGCCTCATCAATCACTCTTTTTTACAGCTAGATTAATATTTTGCCTTTAAAACTTGAGATACTTTTATTTTCTATTGATCTTCTACTATAAAGGTGAATCTCATACCAACTTGAATTCTTTCCTCCTATCCTTTATCTAATTGGTTTATGATTAATAAGAATAACAAATACCTTAGGCATGTCATTCTAAAGAAATCTATTTGTATATTTTGAAAAGCAAATTATTTTGTATTAGTATTTTCTTATTCTATAATTTATCTGATTAAAATGTACATATTAGATTTTGTTAAGGCATTCTAAAGAAGTTCTAAATAACTTCTTAAGAAGAACATTCTAAATCATTTTAGATCATATAAGTTTAGATAAGAATTAAGTATTTTGTTGCAAAAATTATCCCTGTTAGATAATAAAGGCAAATGTAGTACCTTTGAGTTCCTAACTTTATAGATTTTTGCACTTGTGCTTATACATAAAAGATATCCTAGGCTGGGGGTGGGGAGGAGGGAGAGAGAGGAGATAGAGATAGTGATAGAGAGATGGTGGGGAGCGCATGCACTTGAGCGCTAGCGCTAGACAACTGGCTTCCTGAAGCAGTTTCATTTCCCAGGTTCTTACCATGAGTGAGTGACTGCCTCTGTATTCTGCAGAGTAATAAATATGCTTTGTGTTATACATTAATTTAAATCTTTGCCTAACAGCATTTTTAAAGTGTCTAGAAACAAAAAAGATGACTGTTTCCATTTGCAGTTCAAGCTGTTGTAACTTTATGAAAAGCAATAACATTTCTGCGAAGTTGCATACAAACCGTATTGTACTTACACTAGTCTAAAGGTTAATATTGCATATTGTTTTCAATTAGGAATACAATAGATATGGCTGGTGGGTAGGAGAAATGAAGGGAGCCATTGGCTTGGTGCCTAAAGCCTACATAATGGAGATGTATGATATTTGAGAATCCTGGGTAAGTACATTTTAATCCAATATTCTTGTTATAGCTCATATGTTCTCTTGGTCTCTTCCTTCTGAGACTTTGTCTTAAGTCCTTATGGTTTTCTTATAACACAAAGATGGTGCCCCACATCTTTTTCTGTTTTATTTAATCTTTAATTTAAAAAATATTTTCACAGAATTAACTTTGGAAAGGAATAGATTATTTAAAGTTCCTTTGATAATAACCAGCTGTTTCCCCAAATTGCCTCTTCTTTAATAAAATACCATTTTATGACCTTCCTGAGAAGCTGAGTTGACAAAATGTTGAGAAAACTTTTATTTTTCCTTGGTTAAAACTGTAAATTTTTTCTAAGCTGGAAAAATCAACATTTCTACTAAAGAAAAATATTAAAACCCAACTTTCCCTTTCTGCCTGCAGAAAAAGAAGTCTTCTGCTTGTCTGGAAATGCTTTGGATTTAGAAGCCTCATGAAAGCCTGAGTGACAGCTCATAACCTTTCTTTGTTTTGTTGAATGTCCCTCATCTTCGACTATTACTTTATGCAGTAGTTCATTAAAATAGTCTTCTTATATGAAATCAAATGAGGGTTATTAATATAAATTAGATGCAGGCAGTAAAGTTATACCTGTTGCTATTTTGCAAAGAAATAATTACAGTTTTTATTTACCCATTTGATTGCCTGAAGAATTCATTACTATTTTATATGGACCATATGGTCATTGCTACTTGTAGTGTGAATTGTAATTTCACTTAATCATTGGACATCAGTTAATTTTTAGAGTGTAATATATAATTCCATAGAATTTTAATTGAAATTATTATGCAAGTTTTTGGTATGTGCTAAAGAATGTGTTTATGTTAAAGCTTTATAGATCATTTACTTTAGTATTTTTCTCACAGTAGTAATGTGATTCAAGAAAGAAATTTTATAAATTGGCAGGTTTACTTCCTGTTAAATGTAACCATAGGAAGAAAAAAGTGATAGAATTACAAACAGCAGTGTGCTATCACTTGCAGTACAAGTGCAACTAGAAGCATTTTTGAGCAAAGTACTTTACCAAAACAGATATTTTTGGTTTGATCATGGATTTGTCAATACTTTCTTCCACAGTTCTCTTTCAATTTAATGAAATAAAAGATTCATAAGAAACCTCCTACCATTATATAATGTTCTAAACAGTCTCAAAATATTCTCAAAAGAATAAGACAATGAAGGACTCTTATCATTGTTATACTATTAAAGTCCCACTGTAACAGCAGAACTTCAGATTGGAATCTCCCCTGAATTTCTCAGAACATTGAAAAGAAAATGAAGGCTCAGAGAGGAAAGGGTAGAAATCACAGCAGGAATATGTACCAACAGGTAAAAGGAAGGAGGTAGCAGCAACCTGACATCTGAGTTATACTCACTGCTGCTCGAGTGAGGTCTGAAGACTCTTATCATCACCTTTTCATGTATATTTGAAATTACAAGTATATTAAATGCCTATGAAGTACTAGTATGGCCTTAATATATGTCAGAATGTATTACTGACTTGTTATTTGGAATAGACATAATTTCCTAATACTAATTATTACTTAACAGGTACTAACTTTGTTGAACTTTTTAGATCTTTGCTTTATCAAAGTAAAGATTCTAACCATACAAATAAGTTGAAAACTGTTTACAGACAATATTAGAGTACTTATTTTCAGTTATCTCCTAAATACCAGGATCACTCGGTTTCAAATGTAAGGTGGAAAGCCTAATATAGGGATTTTGAATAAAGTCATTTGTATATATTGACACATCAAGTTAAGGTTTTCAGAAATGACATTTGTATAGTTGATAACCTTTTCCTAATATGTTGCCACTGAAATAGGTGGAAACCATCGTTTTCACTTGTGTTGCTGCCTCGCTTGTGAGTACAGATTTTGTACCTCAAATTTAAGTGAAGTTTTTAGTCCTGGGCCAGTAGATGGCAGCAGCTTGTCATTGCATACAGCATCACTTGGCACCCCTCCCCCTCCCAAACTTGTCCAGAATGTACAAGTGTGAGAGATTTCTGCCTTCTTTACAGCTAATCCAGGAGAGGGAGTCCTTTGCCAACTGATGACCAATACTTACGAACCAAATAGTCTCTCTGTGAATGGTGACAGTACAGAAATATGGTGTTACTTCTGCCCAGAACTCCTCTGGCCTTTGTTCTTTTTTAACCGGAATATAGGTGAAAGATACAAGAAAGGAAACAAAAGATTTAAAATTGCAGTGACAGAAAAAAAAAATCATCCCTTTCGATTCATGACTACTTTATATTCTTTTGATGAAATCATTTGTATACTACCAGGGAGAAAGTTTTCTTTACACCCTTGACAATATATTACATATTCTTCAAGATCATAATAATATCATTAATGTGAATTTAAACAACATGGCTTGTTAGAAAATATGCTAATTGTTATGTTCTCATTATGTTTGCTTAGAGATTTTATTTGTTTTTCTATGAACAGTTAGAGAGCTAATTTTTTCAAAGGTGATTGTAAGTCATATTTTATATAGCATTTTGCTTGATTATTTGCTCTGTACTGAATTTGTACTCTATTGCCATTAGATCTTACAATAATGTTCCACTCTGCAAATTTTTAAGGTTCAAATAAAGTTTAATTGTTTGCAAACTGTTATGATGCTAATAATTCAACAGCCTGCTGTGTTACTAATGAAATTACTTTGTTATGATTAATTTGGAAAATAGTGTGTTGATTGTAGTAATTAAGCACAACAAGGTGAAGTAAATGATTCTAATGCCATCTGGCCTCCAAACTGAATGAAGAAATGAAATAGGGCTGTCATTTGAATTTATTCAAAGAAGTAAAGATAATACAAATGACTTTCATTGCTATAGGATTTACACTTAACCACAGATCACTCTGTTCTGTTTTTGCCACTTTGCTGCACATGACACTTTCTTTTATGAAAAAGAATGTTATTTAGTCCAGCAGTTGTTCTGAATACTTTAAGCTGATTATTTTTATCATAGTTTAATTACAGATAATTACATAAAGTATTACAGGATCATAGAAAAATCACTTTTCAACCATCTATAGGTAAAATCTATATATGTTGTGTTTTGTTTTTTTGTTTTTGCCATCGGTATACAAACACTTTGAATATACCCTTTCACAATGAGTACCACTTTTATTCAATTATTTGTAAAATGTTTGCAGTCAACACTTTCTTTTGGTTCTGTTGATTTCTGCTTTTCATATAATTATCTAATCTGTTATTCACGTCTTAGACTTTGGTACTATCTAGGGTTATATGAAAAAACAAGGCTGAATTATAGATTCAGACTTATGATTCAACCACTAGAAGAAAGTTGATATTAATATGGGTATAGTTTAAAAGCTGGAACCTCATCAGCAAGACTGATTGAAGCCTTGTGAGAGAATTTCTAAGTCAAATAAAGTTCTTCTAGATTTCAGAGAAGTCTGTTGTATTTCAGTTGTTGAAATTATAAACTGACCATAAAGTATCACTTCTCTTGAGTTCAATATAGTCAGAATATTTTTTTAAAAGTAAAGAAGAAAGTATTAAAGTTCAAAACATTATCAAGCCATAGAAAATGCAGCTCCCCTCAGATTGAAAAAAATTACCATTAAACATGGCCTAATGTGTCGGTAAAATCCTGAGTATTCAAAAATGCAGAGAAATCATACAGTATTCAAGTATCTTTCTACAAATTTAATTTATATTCAGATGCATCAGAGTTTGTCCTCTGAGTTGGAAGCAAGGTATTTCTGGACTGCCTCAACTTTAATGTATTTTCAAGCACCTACTACCTTACCATTGAGTTCTTTAAGAATCCCTGCTAGCATAGCGTTTTGCCATGATGAGATGAATACTTTTAAGATTATATGAACACAGTAACATGGAATGATACTAATGGTCTGTTTGAGGGGATTTTTCTTGTTTTTACTAGTAGATTCTATTCTTTTGTTACTTTGACAAAACTGTATGATTTAGTGCTGGCATGGCTCAAAGCATAGGTTGTGCATCCAGTAAATGTTTGTTAAGTAGTATGGCAAGTCACAATAGCTCAAGATCTGAGACATAAGAAAAGTAGTTTGACCTCTATACATTGTAGAGAAAATGTTTTCATACAGTGAGTATACCTGCTTTTTAAGAATGCTTTTAGCCAGCCCCTTTTCCTGAGTCCTTAGAAGAAAATTCCCACAACACCATCAACAAGTGGGTTAGATTTGTTAGTAACAGATTGAGGGAGAGTATAATTAGAAAGTTGAGTGTGACAGTCTTTAGACATTTCCTCCTTCCCTGTGTTCAGCTTTGTGACTCTTTCAAGAAGGGGCACAGGTGACCCAGGCAGCCTGGGTCAGGGCACCTCGCTTCACTTTGCAAAATATTCCTTGGGAACTGTCAGAGAAGCCCCTGCTCCTGTCTTTTATGTTGGAAGCATTCTTTCCATTTCCTTGGGTAGATCAAAACAAAATTTCTAAAAGTGGGAACTTTCGTAGTTGCCAAATCCAGTTACAATTCTATTTTTGTTCTTTCTACCAACCTTTACTCCCTATTTCCTTAAAGTTGTATGATTATGTTAACTTGAGTGCTTTATGTCCCCAAGATGAGCCACAAATGCACAAAGTAGCCTTCCTCATAGCCCTGGTTAGCTTTTTGGTCTGTCATGTTTGGAAGAGGACTGAGAAGAGAGTGCACCAGAACACTTGTGAATATGCACAGAGGTGTGAAAACAGAAATTACTCCCAGAGCCCATCTCCTAAGTGCCTGGGTTTCACTCCTCTCCATTTTCATAGGCTTCCTTTTTATTATCTGTTACTCAGAGAGGCAATGTAATGCAGCACTTGTATGTTTTCTCTTTATTGGCCTCAACTTTGTAATATGAAAATATCACTCCTGTTAGAGTAAAAATAGGTGCCTTTTGAAGCTTGAATGGCAGTTTACCTCTCATTTGAGGGAAGTGTCATACCGGTACTCTCAGAGGAAGAAATTAATGA